GAGTGCATATGCCTGAGTAGTGAGGAACCAACAGTCGGCACACAGATAAATAGATCTATAAAAGAAATGTAAATACAAAACTTAAGTTCTGGGAAAGGACCAAAGTCAAGAAGTAAATGAACAACCTGAACCACAGCCTTCTCTATTTATAGGCCTAACAGGTCAACGGAAATTCCTGTTCTTGTGCAAGAATTGAGTCCCTCTGCGTCCACAGATTTTATCAAATTAAACTACAGTTTCATTATTTTTGACATATTTTTAGAACTATACGTCATTTTTGAGGTAAATAAGTGGGCCAATTAAATTTAACAATAAAGGCTCTTACAGACAAACAAAAATGCTTTTGCTACAGTCAACATGAACATAAACATCAATAACGTTTAGATATAAACGAAAAGTTGTTCCAGCTAAAGTAAAGAAATATCAGTGCTCTTTGATTCTGAGAGGGATTTGTTGCATCAGAGGAGCGGGGAGAGGAAAGGGGGGGGGGGGGGTGACATGTGTACTTTATCAAATATAGCGCATAAAAATACTGCTATGAAACATACACATGTCATACATAACATAAATATAAATGATTGATGGTTATTATTAGTAGACTACTACAACATATAATTACACTGTTATTTACTAATTAGTAAACAAGCACAATCAGTATGAAATTGATATGTGCAATACTTTTTTTTCACCCAGAGTAGTTTTCTTAACAGTACTTATAGCACTACTAAATATGTATCCTCAAGGTACAAACAGCACAAACAAATTTGTCCAGTTTCATCTTGTTGGATGAAATCAATTCCTTATCATTGCGAATTTTAATTTTTTTTGGTAACAAATATACATAAGAAGTGGATGAACAACCAGAAGTTTCAGCAAGAGTTTACAGCCAGTGTTTGCGAAGCAAAGCAAAAGCCAGTTTACAAAAATTAACACAGACCGTACAACTGCAAATATGCATAAGAAGTGGATGAACAACCAAAAGTTTCCGCAAGAGTTTACAGCCAATGTTCGCGAAGCATAAGTCAAATGGTTAAGGATTAATATTATTAGTGTACTGCTGCAACATATAATTATACTGTTAGTCAACAATTAGTAAAGAGGCAAAGAGTGACTTGCTGTGAGAGGTTAGTTATTAAATTAAATATTATTTTCATCCACTTACCTAGAGCTCCGAAATATCTTGACACAATTTATCCACAGTGTGGTTGCACCATTTATGCACAGTCAATATGAAAGCAATAGTTTTCTTTCAACACAAGATAGTTTGCACCTGACAACTGTCGATATTCTCCAGATATGGCTTCTAAATTACCTGTGTGTATTTTCCCCTGAAAGTAAGATTTCTTTATTTAAAGTAGAAAAGTAATAAACAGCCAGTTCCCAAAACTCCGAACTACTGACTAGAAACAGTGATACACACATCACAACAGGACGTAAATTAAAATTAAAATTGCTGTAATCTAACAACAAAGTATGAAAATCTTGTATATCCACTTTACAATATTCGCTTGTCAATTTGTAATACGAATACAATCAGAACACACAAGTTTGTAAGCATATTATATTGTCACACAATGCAACATGGAAACGCTTCAAGTAACCTATTTTCGAGGGGACTCAGCCAAAATGTATCGTGATTCAGTTGTTAGGAATTATTAGAGAAGGCAGTGCCTGAACATTCCGTTAGAGTTTACAGCCGGTGAATGCTGAGAGGAAAAGTTGAAGAAATTAAACTGATTTCGTATTGATCTAAATCCAAGAATTAAAGAACATTATTCAAAAAAAAAAAAAAAAACGTACAGTTTCTCTTAATTAAACTAAAAACACTTTCAATACACACAAGCTCAAATAGGTTAAAAAGACAGTGGAAACAACGATTCCAGTAACAAGTAATTACATTTAAAAAATAAAAAAACTGAACTGGATAAGAGAAAATACAACAGACAATACATTAACAAAGAAATGCAATAAAAAGATCCTACAATAAATTAATCCTTAAAAAACAACAACAGATAAACTTGTTCTAATATGAGAATTACTTGGGCGGGGGGGGGGGGGGGGGGGGGGGGGGGGGGGTGCAGGGTTTCGTTTTTATACTGTTTGTGCAGCAAAGCATTCTTTTTGTTTAATTCGTAATAAAAGACTTTGGTGGAAACGTTTGCTGTTTGTGGATTTCCAAACAATACTGCCAAATACTTGCTATTGCTGTCTGTATTCACCATTTATGCTGTGCAGGCGGAAGAAACAAAGGGATGTGGAGCGGTGGGGAGGGGGAGGGTGGCGGCAGTGGGCTTTGCACCTCAAGATGTTAGGTCGCATAGGTACTGCTGTGGGCACGGACTGTGTAGTTAATGCTTTTATATTTGCTACCGGCAGAGCAACTCTAACCTCACCGAAGCTTAGAACCCGGGTCTCCCGCTTGAGAGCCTAGCGTTGTTACCAACGAACGAACTTTATTTTCTAAAGGGTAACAAACTGGGCACCCAGTCCCGTCTTACAT